GAGGCAATATGACTTCCAAGTGGAATCACAAGATATTTTAGTACCTGCTAGAGGAGCTAATACAAGAGAAGACCAAATGGCGGCTCCCTGATGCTCCAGATAGCTACCTAGAAGACCTAATCATAGAAAGTTTGGCAGGATCAAACCACATTGGAAGGCAGATCACTGCCAAAGATGAACTAGAAATATGGGACAACATAAAAAACAGACTAGTAGCCAAGTAAGAGGACAGGTTGATGCAGGCAAGACAGAGGGAGAGGAGAAGCAATGTGAGTGCCCGAGGTTGCTTGCAACATTTTTTTTGAATGTATGTGCAGAAATTAAAACGTAGAAAAAAGACTTCGGAGGTGATAATCCAGATGAAGGAACAACACAGTGCAGCAGACATTGCTGTTTGGGAATAGCTGCAGGACCTAGTTGAATATTTAAAAGAAGAAGACGGGATGAGTTTGGAGAAGAGTAATGTGGATAGAGATGACAAAGGAATAGTGCAAAAAGTGTACAGAGTGAAGGTAATGTTTTGGAGAAGAAATATTGAGAAGGAACTTGGTATTATTGATAAGACCTGAATCCAGGATGACAACTTATACTCCCAACAAGGATCTAAATCTGCCAGGCGGACACATAGCAATAAAAACTCCCTTTCTAAGCAAAATCCGGTCTGCAAGCTTCCCCAGATCTTATATGACGATAACTGGTATGAAAGCCAGAGCTCCAGCTATCACAAGATGACTTTAAAAGTTTTTAAAGAGCAATTTAGGTGGTTTGAAGTAAGTGGGCAAGGAGTCAGCCATATATAAGTGTACTAATACTGTAAATACCTGGTCCCAATCAAATGATTATGCAATGTATTGTGGTGTACAATTGGGGTGTTTAATACCCATCCTTTCTAACCATTGCAACTACCACTGATTGCCTCAGGCTAGTGTTTACATTGTGCATACATTGTAAATGTTTATCAATAAATTAATTGTCCCCTCCCACCGCTCCAACGCTCCAGGCACTCCAATTCTGCGTTTACACTGTGCATACACTATATACGTTCTCAAGGGCCACTCAAGGAGAAATACTACATTTTAAAACAACAACCAATGTTTGTCCTAATCTACAGACACCATCTCAGTGATACCTATTACCCAAAGATTATCTATTTCCAGCATGAACCGCGTAAGTTTCATTTTTTGAATCATTTTTTCTATTTAATTATACTAGTATCTAAAACAGATTTTAAGACAAACTGACCACTTGGCATTCACTGTGCATTTGGATGAGCAGCAAGGTGTTTATACATTGCCTACTTCAGATATTCTACCATACATCCCACCTCAAGAACAGAAACTTGAACACTATATGCATACTTGTGAAACACTCGTCCCCTGCTGGGCATCTGATATTTATCCCCACATTGCATTCACACCAGATGAAGTTGGTTTCAAGGGGCCATTGCTCGGTCAACTCTCCCTTCCTGCCCAAATCCCTTTACAATGTTTGAATAGCCAGTACTACCTCAAAAAGGACTTAATCACATTGTGGTTAAGACTGGAGGATGGAATAGGCTACATCACTTGTTCTCTTGACAGCAAGAGGCCAAGGCCTTCCCTTACCCCTATACCTTCGGCTATTTTTGAGGACACAAGATGGAGGAGGATGCACACAGAGCCATCCTGAAATCTTGCTTTGCTTTCCTGCCTCTTTTTGGCTTGTGCTCATTTGTTTTAGCTATGATGAGCAAAGGTCGCAATTTGCAAAATCCATTCCCCCCATGGGCTTGTATGCTACAGGGCTCTTGTGGAGCTCATCCAAAGTGGGTCAAAGGACTAGGGGCTTTTGTTATAGGCAATTTCTCCAAGTCCATCAAGCACACTGGGATGTTTGTCAGTGTTGGTGACCACTGTTTGTGGACTGATATAATATCAGTTATAATTGATGTGGGTGTTCCTGTATAGCTTTTTTGTGGGGTCTATGGAAAGTTCTATACTCATTCACCAATGCCCTGCTTCAAAAAATATTTCCCCTCGGAGTCCCAAGTGCTAGATGCAATTTCAAACAAGAAGCAGATGAAACAGGATATGCTCATGAAGGAACAGCTGGAAATGGAGACAAGGATGGAATTTGAGGATGAGTATGCATACATTGGATCTGCACCTGGACCACTTCTATTTCAACTAGAGAAGGGAAGTGGTCAGAGACCTAGAGAACATTGAATAGATTTTTTCTCCAGAAGGGATGAAGGGAATGCTGTTTTACAAGCTTATGAATCAAGATATAGCCATTGGCAATGTCTCATGAGAAATGACAAACTGGCAGGCTTTCCTGTCCCAGAGATGAGAGAATGTCACATTTATAAATGGACGTGAGAATATGACTGTGGATTGTACTGGGTGTGACTGCGGATGCCCTTCAACATTGTCCATTGGCGTTGGTTGGAAATACCTAACCAACACAAATACTATGATAGTCTCTGGCACTCCTGGGATATTCGCAGTGATTTTCCATTGTACATGAAGAAAAACAAAGGTGTACTGTTGGATACCCTGCAACTTTTCATCCAAAGAGGGCCGATATGGCCAGAATACTGCGCCAAGTCCAAGACCACTGTAACAACCAAGAGTTAGTTACTCTGGCGCACACAGAACTACACTATAAAGAAAATGAAGAGGGAGTGGTTACCCCTTAGGCTGCAGAGAGTTTGTTGGTATACAACAGGAGGACTCGCTGAGGAGTCTCCTGGATCTATTGGGGTATATATACTACTACAGGGTTGTTTGTACATGTGTACTATACAGTTGATAGCGACAGTGGCTGATGATATCATGGGGCCTAGCCCGCATGGCCAGCTCCACTGTGTGAGAGAGTTGTGAATAAGAAGAAAGGCAATGCAGCGCGAGAAAGAGGAGTTTTGACAAAAGGGGAAGTGCGGTGTGGCACCATGTGTGAAGGCTAAAGTACAAGGTTAAAGCGGAGAATAAATAAAGGAAAGGTCCAAAAATTGTGTTGTTGTAATAACCACGGTCTATAAAGACTTATCATCATCCGCTTGTGAACGTCAGATCACCCATATGAAGCACAATTTACCACAGGTGTCTGATACCCTTCAGTACAGATACAGCTTCCTCCCTACAGAGCGCTTCTCATTCAGTGATCTGAGGTGAAACATATCTTCGGAGATATATCTCCAGACAAAACTCCAAGCTGGGTCGAAGCTGCGCGTTATTTTACATCCACATTCCTATCTTGCCCCCAATATCAGAAAGCACAAAATGTCCTGCCGCCTATTTGGGACATGGTTCCATCTTGCCCCAAACACATGCAAGCCCATGACCTTCTATTTATTGTTGATCCTATCCGCTTCAAGGACAAATCAGGTTTTGAGAAAGTGAACTTCTTGCTCCCACCTTGTGATACAGCCTCAGTGCCTGGGTGGGGTGTTTTTGTGAGTCAAGTATCAACTGTACTAGAGTGTGTATGACAAAGCTTTGGGCCTAAAATCAAGGACATAGTATTGAAACTCGCATCTAGAGGGATGCCTTTCAAGACCCTTCTCAAAGTCAAGGTTGCTCCCCCATCCGTTCCTCCACAAAGCATTACCCTAGATACCGTCATGAGGGTTACAAGCCAGACAACATTGACTACACATGCTACCAGGAAGTGCACAATAAACTCCTTAAAGGCCCATGTGGTTGTGCGGCATTGATGCAGGGTGGTGTTAAATGGTGTTTATCAATTGACACTCTGTGCCCAGATATAGTTTTGTTGGGGCCATTGAGTGACCCCAAAGAACTGAAGCAAGTTGATGAGACCATTGATGGTTGTATCTTTATCAATGACTGCCTCTCTCAGGAAGAGCTCAACCTTATTTGTGGAGTTTACAACACTTATACTGGACAAGGCCCTCAGGTATCTTTCTCTTCATGGTGGCCCAGGCATTCTGCATATCTGTCCAGTGGACTGAATATTGGCTTCTGGTCATCAGCTGCTAAACAATGGTTTTATACCCACCTGGAATATATTGGTAGTGATGGTGCAGACCTTAGAAATGGGAAGCAGTGGAAAAATGGCATGAGCATGACTAAAGTAGCCATCAAGTTTATAGATTGTAATGACAGTATTTCTCTCGATGTTGTTTTAAAGTGGTTCTAATATTTTAGTCTTATGTCTGTCTGTCTTAGTCTTAATCAATTGTATAGATATATTGTGAATTATAATTGACAATTATGGACACGTAAGATACTAAGTGGCCAGTGAGCGGACAACCATTGGGTGATGAGTGGGTGACAAACGGGCAGCAGGTGGGTGATAGGTGGGCGATGAGTGGGCGACACATTTCGTCAATCCCACAATGCATTATTCCACCCACCCCCTAAATAGCAAATAAAATATAACATTTTGGCATCATTAGTACGTTGTACACAAAATATCACATTCTCGACCCCATTTTATGGCTCATTGAAAGTCACATAAGAAACACTCTCTCAAATTTTAAATATGATTGAATGATTTTGTGCCCATTAAAATTAATTTTCAGTCACACTTTTGACAAAACCGGATAAACCCGGTCTCTGCCAAAGCAGCCATTGTTCTCCATGGAGCATAGCCACCACTCCATGGAGTAACCATTGTTCTCCTAGGAGTCATTATACTGTAGCGAGTAGCACCTCCGACTATAAGTAGTAGGGGGTTTAGTATAGGAATACCTCAGTCATTTCTATAGCCTCTCGGGCAGCGGCTGAGGTATGTTACATTACATTTATTATAGATCACCTTAAACTAACATCTATTGTAGTTTCACTTAGGTTAATAATAAAGTCGTTTCTATAGCCTCTCGGGCAGCGGCTGAGTTTCACTTAGTTTTATTAACTTTAATAGCAATGAAATGTTTATCAGCATTTGACATTTACAATGGTATTTTAGGACAGCTCAATGTTACTACTTTTGTATGGTTGAAATGTTCCGGTAAATTTTCATTACCGACACCATTTTGGGGGGTCAAAATTTTCCTCACGGTGAAGTGTATGCTAACAAAAGCACACGCCACATCAACACACTTGCAGATGAGTCACCCGTAGTTTTTTCTTTGTTAAGAATGGCCAACGTAGTGTGTCCTGAGGTGGACGTTTATTGGTCTACCATCCATTCAGCTTCTTCCTATGGATCAAATCCAGCGGGCGACGTGGGCCGGGAATTCAGATTGCGACCAGGATATTCCCAACCTGTTTCATTTCAGCAGTTAGCTTACAATGATACATATACTGTCCCCCGCCTACAGAAACGGCGACACGAAACAGAGGATCCATTTGAACCAGATAGTGCACCAGGGGAAAGAGACGATGGCATGGATCAATGTCCCGCTCCTGAAAGATCTCGTTATGGGGTATCGAAACGTGTCAAAACGACAATGGCCTCCGAGGTCCTTAGCACTGGAAAGGAAAGTACAGGCATTCAGGATGATATTGATGTGGGTGTATTGCTTGGTAAGTTTCTTGGCTTCTGCTGCTATATTTTGTTTTTGTTTTGACTGCAGTTTGTTACCAGCCGGCTTGCCACCACATTCTTTATTGACACTCCTGAATTCTTTAATCCACGCAAAGCCGTCGCTGAAATCATTTATGATGCCCCTCATACCGCGGCCAACATTAGACATGGCTATCCAAGCTCTAGCGCTATCGGCGAAGAAGTTAAGGGATGCTTATCCTTATTCTAATGCATATATATGTTCCCCCGCTGCTTCGTCAACGACTTCATTTGGTTTTGCCCCTGGAGGCAGTTACAATCGTTTCGCTTCGTCCGGCAACTCAGAAGATGACTTTGCACGACTGGTTTCTCCGCCAATCAATCCTTCCAATATGCACGGTCGCAGCGGCATCCGTGAATCGTATATCATAACTCGAATACAGCCTCACATGCAGGAATTTGTATCTACATCCATGTCCTATCTCCCTTATTTTTCCCATACCAATGCCTCTCAAAAACCGACTTCTGGACACTCGCAGTCATCTCCCAGTTCCTCAATCCTCGATCCACATATTCAATATACGTTCAATGTACATCCCACAGAAACATTCGGTTTTCTTTCAGCCCTTACCAACCACTGTATTTCTCAACCACCACTCACTCGGTCTTATTTAATCCCTTTACTTCTTCCTCGCCTGACACACGAATGGGAAGCTTGGGTTGATGTGGTAGACGAGATTGTAAATGAAAAAGGAGGTATGTTCGGGCGAGAGACAGTGAGAGGATGGGAAAGAACGTTAGATGAGTTGGCTGAAGTGAGATGGCCAGAGGAGTGTGATGGGTTTGGAAACGTAAGAGACAAATGGGTTTCAAAAGTGGGGTGGCTGTTAGGTAAAACGGCTCCATCGGGGAAGCAGGTTGATTGTCCTATCATATTGTAGTGATTATATCTTGCTTCATTATTAGGTGTCCTCAGAACGTTACACTTGAGACTGAGGAGAATTTTCACCCTGCAAAATGTGATTGAAAATTGCAACCTAAATGTAATATTTAACGAAAACAATGATGGAGTCGTGACTAGGCGACCGAAACAGGCAATCACACACCAAGATAATCAATCAAGGACCGCTAGCTCCGCTTCGGTACGTACCGCACATACCACCAGCGTCAGGACTTGGTGACCTGGCGGAATTTGACTGGTAAGCTCCGCCTGATTTGGTCTGTGAGTGCCAGTGTGACCAGAAATTGCAGAACCATTCCAAAACATGTGTCGTCTTTTTGGTTTTGTTCCGCTGCTCCAATGTTTCAAGTTCTTGCTTATTTTTCTACATAGGCAACTAGAAAACTAAAAATTATATCTACTGGTCAAGTTCCGACAGTCTAAAGCTCAACAACTGGTGAGTTATCCAACTTCTCCCCAGACCAATTGCACCTATTGTCCAACAATAGTATTATTGTAGTGAATATTTAATCCTCTACAAAAGCAGAAATGTTGTCTTGGATTTACCAGGTGAATTGTGTTTGTAATTTACTTGGATATTTTATTGTTTTGTGAAATCTGCCATGTAAAACACCTAAAATGACAGTGCAAATATGCACTTTTTGGTTCATATGTTCAGTCATACTAATGTAAAAATTTTCATTGCCATTCTGGTAGCAACTAAAATAAGCCATTTCAAGGCAAATGAAATGTGTCACCCACTTGCTGCCCACTGATCACCTGGTAATCACACATGCAGTACACAACATCAGTGCATACAGTGTAACAACCAAGAGTTTGTATACTCTGGCGCACAACTCAGACAAGCAGTAGTGAATTGAGTGGGAGTGGTTACCCCTCAAGATAGGACCGAGTTAGTTGTGGGTAAACAACAGGAGGACTTGCTGAGGAGTCTCCTTGATCTATTGGGGCACAGCCTGTGTGACCAGTTCCACTGCGTGAGAGGCTTGTATCTAAGAATAAAGGAAAGCAGTGCAGCACGAGAAAGTGGAGTTTGAACAAAATGGAAAGTGCTGCATGGCACAGTGTGTGAAAACTACAAAAGAAAGTTAAAGTGGAGAATGAAATTTAAAGGCCCAAAAATTGTGTATTGGTCTATTCACACTCAATACTATTCTCTACCTGTGAAATTATACTAGTTACATTCAAAAATTTTGATCTGAGTGTTTTCTGCCCACTTATCCCGGTGATACTTCCATTTTGCAATTTTGAGGATGTTCTGGAACTCAGGAAAAGATCTTTCTTTGACAAAGAATGCATTTATACTGTCCCAGCGAATATTTTGTAGTGTCACAGTGCTAGGGTGCGCAAGAATAGGCCAAGGGACTTCTTTGGTCAAGGGCAAGATTGTCATATCCATGCCACAGGCTATGATTTCTGGACCTCCAAAAGTCAGAGATCCTCGAGTCCAAACACCCAAATCTTCGGTACTCTCAGAATTATGCTCCTTATACTCTGCCGCTTTGCATAGCCCTGTACCTCACCCCCACATGGTACTCTGGATATCCGCTCCAATTCTCCTGCACTGGACTTCTAGTCTGCCATACATTTTTTCTGCACATTCTCATGGACTCTGTAATTTAGACCTTATGGTACACTCCCTTCACATATGATGTCCCCTTGCTAGATAATTGAATTGTCCACATGGAACTCCATATCTACATTATGAGTTACTCCTTACAAACTCCAATTCCTCCAATAGTATATAAGCCGTAGCTCCTGTACTCCATTCCTGCAGTTCAAATATCAGCTAGTTCCTTCCACCTTTATTAAAGTCTCCTTCTAAGTTTTGTGGTCCTTCTCTGAAGGACCTTTACTCTGCTCCACCTTTCATCCTCTACTCTCACCCCTTCACTCCATTGAGTTAGGGACCAAAGTTTGTGGAAGAGCCTAGCACACAAGCTAAGTCAACTCCCAACCTCATACTCTGCCCCACTCCCCCCCCCATCTCCATATTCCAAACTCTGATTAGTCTAAAGGTCACAGTTCTGACAAAGATATTGAATGTATTGAAGAACTCCCAAACTGTGATGAACCAAAGGATAGGTTTTTCCCTCGTCAGCCTCCCCCTGTTCCCTATCATTCCTCTGCATCTCCTCTTGCAACAAACAAGCCACTGTTTTCCTCTGCTCCTCTTGCATGGAAGCAAGTGGTTCTGCTTTTGCTAACACTTCCTTGTCATTAAACCTCAAACAATCTATCTCCACATTTTTCCATTGTGTATCCCAAGCCATGTTCAAGTTCTGTCGTTGTTTAAAGGTACTGTGGGTCAATCATTGAGTTATGTCACTTGGGGGCAAGATCATGGGCTCATTTATGACCTTGGCAAGGAGGAAACATTGTACTTAAACCTTCAAACTCATCCACATAAGTCCCATCCTCTTCTGTCTCCAATGCTATCAAGAAGGTTTATTAAATCTTATATATGAGGAAGCTATGTTAGAAGGCTAACATTTTCATTTTCCAGGTCCATGTGATGTACTGGGGAGCTTACTAGTATTGCTTACAAACTCTGCAGCATTATCATTGTCAACAGACATTGCACTACTTGCTGTCGTTAGTGCGGGGTCCTCACGTGATGGAGCAATGTTGGAGATTTGGGGCGCTAAATATACATGACATTTGTAGGTGGGATCTACCTTGTATAGGTCCCATTGGTCTATTGTACAACAGACAAGTCCGCTGTAGATTTTAAGAATCAAACAAGAATGTATGAGAAACAATCCAACCATTTAGGTTAACCACTTGAGGCCAAGATCCTTCACCTTCCACTGTAGGCTCCAATATAGCTTTTGGAACATATCTCCAGAATAAGTTTCCAGAAGGGAATACTTCATTCACAATTCTTACATGATTGATACCTTGGTCTTCAAGGGCAACAAGTGTACTGTTGGCAGTAAACTCGTCAAAGTCAACAAACACAAGCCTGTAGACTGGATTTTGAAGCACAAATGACAGTTATAACAGATTGATAACACCAGGGGATGACCCACTAAGCAGTTGAAGATTGAATCTATGCAGGGCTGAATACATCATGAGAATAATTCACAGTGTAGAAACACTACAAATTGTAACAGCCAGCTATGTAGAAGAGTTATTAGACTGAATAGCCAGCAGTCTAATTAAAAAGAATGAAAAATGACAAAAAAAGTGTAACAAGAGGGAAGGTAATGGAAAGCACCAGGGTTTTGCAGACACGGAGAAATCTGCATAATCAATAGCTAGTGGCCGCCCATGGCAGGGTAATGCTATGATGTGTTCCTACGCTTGATATGGGATTTCTTTATAGATATTATACAAAGGATCTAGTTGTTGGATCTAATTATTGTGAATAAATTGTGGTCCTCTAATGTTATCCGGATCACTTACTGTTGTTGTTGTTGCACAGCATGGTAAAATATATGCTGTCATGGAATTTCATTTAATTTTGAACAATCACACATGTTTTTTATTGTACTGTACATTAAAGAAATTGGAAGAAAATATATTGCTATTACAAAGAATTGATACATGACACTACCCTGATGCTTATAAGTTGGGTGACATATTGAATAGTACAATGGGGTATTCACACAACAAAAGAAAGAAAGAAAGCTAAAACCAAAATGAAGTACACTCACAAGTGATCTATTTGTTGAACTTGAGACACTTGGCAGTTTTCTTATTCATCACCAAACTATTCTTCCACTGTTTTGCACCTCTCAACTCAGCTGTCTATGATAAATATGCTCCAAATGTGTGTAAAACTATTATTCTGCTGAGGATGACCAAAAGTCTGCATCTAGACCACTGCCTATAAACATAAAATCCTTTGGCCACCAGGATGACTGGGAGGTTTGAGGCCCGTGTCCAGTATAGATATTGTAGACACCCACAATGAGGTCAAGCTCTTCTTGTGACAAGCAGTCACAATAAAGTAGTGACCATCAACAGCCTGAAAGATTTCTTTAGGTTTCCAAGGACTGCTCAAAGGTCATGATAAGACCACTTCTGGAGAAATAACATCAATTGCAATATGCCATGCCACCCCACCTCCCAGCAATGCTACATGCCCACGACAACTCATCATGAACATTTTTGTAGCAGCTATAGTCAATGGCGTCAGGTTTGTAACCTTCTTGGTGATATCCCAAGGTCACATAATATGAAGGGACAGTTGCAGGTGGGGGCTCCACCTGTTCAAGAGTGTGAAATGGAATGCCTTTCATTACAAGCTCTAATATGATATCCTATATGCTTGGCCCAAAACCACGTCTTGCACATTCTAAAACAGACAAAACCTCATGCAAGCAGATGACCCATGGAGGGAATTTCATTGTATCACGAGGGCTGATTAGATAGCTGTCTTGCAAATTACCCTTGAATCAAATGGTACTGATAATGAAGGGGAATTTGTGCTCTCAAATGTAGTCAGGACATGAGGGTAATATGTCCCAGATAAGTGACAAAGCATCATTTGTTCTATTGTACTGGCTTTGAAAGGAGGATGTGAAATAATAAGCAGTGTCCACCCAGCTAAGGGGCACTGCATCTGAGTTGACATCCCCAAAGACAGCCTTAACATTGTTCCATCTAGTGAGGTTGAATGTGTGATCATAGATAGGGAAGAAATTATCCCTCTGTCTGAAACCATAGCAATACAACAGAAAATCACTTAATGGTAATTGTTACAATCTGCTTTGCTATTAGATCACATTCAACTCTAAAGGTATGCTACCATCCATCTTCATGGTCTTCTATTGTTGGCAGGGATAGGGTTATGAATGTTAGAGTTTCCTCAGATGATAGAAGGAAATTGTAGAGTAGACTCAACTTGTCCTATTCTACTGTTATACAGGGGTTTATATACTGAATAGGTAGTGAATCCAAGCTCAGCTCCAAGCTGGGTTTGTAAGTAAGAGCCAATAGTGTAAAGACCTCCAGGGTTAAGGGTGAGAGGTTTGTAGTCCAAAGGAGTATCTTTGGGGAAATAGCAAGAATAGATCAAGGACGTGTGACCATAATGTAGCTATAAGGAGTATCCTTGTAAGGCCCGCAGATCACAAGATATAGGGCTAAGGCTGTGTGTCCAAGAAAGGAAAAGGAAGGATAAGATAAAATAAGGAGAAATGTGTACAAAGGGATAGAGGGATAAGATATAAAAGTGTACATATAGGATTATAAAGATAATGATGAGTGATAACCACTAGATAAAGGAATATAGTCTGATAAGTAAAGGAAAAGGTGAAGGATAAAATGAGAGTAAACTTGAATCGTAACAGTAATATGCTATGGTGGGGGATAACTTGTCAATTGCGGGTAATGTCAAACCTTAATGCAAGAAATTGTTAGCCTGTTGGAAATACTCTGGCAACATTGGGGCTTGTTAACTGAATTTTTTCTGATGGCCCTGTAGTGATTCCAACAAGTAATCCGCATTCAATTCAGGATCAAAGTTGGGGCATATATCCCAGCAGTGAGAGAAGCCGTTGTAATATTTGTGTCAATTTGGGATATTTGACCAGTGTTCACAAGCTATAACATTCACATGTCTCTGGCATTGGAAAACTTACCATGTTCTTCTCCATGCTGAGGCACAGCTGTTGACTGTAAAGAGACTTGTGAGCATGTATTACAGCATTTTTGGCATCCCTGCATCCAAAGAAGTCTCTCCAATACTCCCCAGGAATTTGTCTGCTCCTTTTCTCTACTTGGTACTCCACTTAGTATCATAATGGTTCATAGAGTTTATGTTTATCTTCACAGAGCAGCTGCTCATGGTACACGGTGTAGACAGCCTCTATCTTGAGTTGCTCTCTCTCCAGGTGTTCTTGTTCAGTTCTCTCCTTATCCGCCTTTGCTGCTTTGGCTTGCTCTGGAGAAGGGAAGTATTTTTGAATGGGAGCTATCATGGTTTTGGGTGGGAGATTACATATATTGCTGGTATATGCCATAAAAAAATCTCACAGGGGCATTAGCACCAATAAGAGTTTGTACTGTTTCAATCCATGTGTGTGATTGTGCAGCATGCATGAAGACTCCAGCCTGTTTAAGACTTGGAAAAATTGCCTATAACTGAGAGGCATAATCCCTTCACCCACTCAGGATGAAGGCCACAAAGGTCTTGTAGTGCACAAGCCCAAGAAGGGTATAGGATGTCTAACTTTTGACCTTTGCTTAACATGGCTAAAGCAAAAGAGCAAAAGCCAAAAAAGTGTAGGAAGGCGAAGTAGCACAGCTTTAGTTGCTTTCACTTCTGTTTTGTGTCCAAGCAGGTATTTAAAATTTTGCGGGTATGGATATAACTCAGCATTGAGAGGCCAAAGGATGGGCTGAAGTTTTTCAAGATGGTATATTGTGTATAAATCACCATCCTCTAGCATCAACCAAAACTCTTGCAAGTTTGCTGTGAGGTAGTATTTGCCATTGACGTACTCCACAGGAACCTTGGAATGAAGAGCAAGACAACCAAGGAGCATGCCTTCAAAGTGAATTTTGAGTGGTGTAAATCCAATATAGGAGTAGATTTTACTTGCCTGACGTGTAAAAAGTGTCTCCTGAGGATGCATAGTAGCACAAAGGATGTTATTCTTTGGAGGGACATATGGGATTGTTTCTGAATTAAGCGGGGCATAAACAAAGGGTACATTGTCCAGATGAATGAAGATTGGGTGACTTGACTGTGCCATTCCGGTGCATAAGAAAGATTGCGTCTATCTGTTTCAATAGTCAGAACACAATGATACTTGCACAATATTGGATCAAGACTTACAGTAAGATATACTGGTGGAAAGGGTAAGAAGGAGGGGAGGAGGTTAGAGTGAGTGGAATTTTTGGTGAGAGGGATAATTGTACTAGTAGAAAAAAGATGGGGAAGGTGAACATTAGTGAGAACTTTGGTGATAAGTAACATTGAATTAATGCTCCCTAGTGATGTGAGGGGAGGCAAAGATTGTGCACAGTTGAGGCCTCTAGATGCAGGATCCATAGTGAAAGCCTCTGGAGGACATCTGTGATGTAAAAACACTACAGACAAAAAGGACTATGTTGTAGATAGGGAGAATCCTGGAATATGTTACGATACACAATTTTTGAACCTTTAATTTTCATTCTCCTCTTTAACTTTATACTGTAGTTTTCACACATTGTGCCATGCGGCACTTTCCATTTTACTCAAACTCCACCTTCTATTTTAGCTACAAGTCTCTCACGCAGTGGAGCTGGTTACACGGGCTGTGCCCTCTGACATCATCAGCCACTGCTTTTATCAACTGTACAGTAAATAAGTACAAACACTCTGTATTAGTATATATACCTGAATAGATCCAGGAGACTCCTCAGCGAGTCCTCCTGTTATATCCTCACAACTAACTTGTTGGAGCCTAAAGGGTAGCCACTCCCTCATCATCATCTCTATAGCTTGTCTGAGTTGTGCACCGGAGTAGCAAACTCTTGGTTGTTATAGTATAAAGCCTCTGAAGGATGACTATGGTGTGAAAACACTACAGAAAAAGAGGAGTGGATGGTCCAACATAGCAAACATGACAGTGACTGGGGGGTTTCTACCTCCTAGTACTACATTGAGTACTCACCTTTGCAAGGTCAAAATTTACCACTGCTACTGGGGTGTTTTTACCTCCCAGCTATATGACAGAAGATGGTAGATGAATTCTAGAGATTACAGTTTCTAATGCCTAAACACTTTATCAATATTACCTCTCCTGCTTTTGACTCTTTAATCTGTCCATTCTGTTTATCCATACTACTATATTGTCTGTATCTTTTTCTTCCTATCCCACCCTGGCCAGATGGTTTATTCCAAGGTTGTATCTCTTTTACCAAACTTTCCAATATATCCCTAATTGAACCTATTTTTTGCTTGAACAGCATTCCCTACAGATTGTTCTATTAAGAACAAAGCTTGAAGGAAGTGTCTAGCCACTTGCTGAGAGCAATCAGGGACTGGAACTAGAGTCCAATGTGAGTAACTTTATTATTAGAGAGTATGACAGGTATACAGTACCTAGAGTCCAATGTGAGTAACTAGAGAATAGGAAGCATTGGACTCTGCAGTACTGTCCGAAGTTTTGTAAACAAAGGTAAACAAAGCAGCCACAAAGGCAAAATAATAGAGAACACAATCAATAGTGAATAATAGAAGAATAGATAGAGAAAGGAATGAAAATATATAGGTAGCACAAAGGTGCAGAATCACCAAAACTAACATGTTCTTGATCACATGATGTCTTTGCAGTATCCATTTTCTCCTTCACATGGATGTGGCTAGCTCTTCTTTGCAATTTGGTCCATTTTTTATATTAGTTATGTATCTATGAGGTGATTCCTTTTTCATCAACACCTGAGCTGCTGAGGTTGAGCAGCTTGAATTTTGGGGCCCAAGTTTTGCTCCCAGATAGTTGTGCATCATATAAACCAAACTAAGGAAGGTAAGTGTCTGTCATTGGGAACTATGAATCTAGCTTACTTTGCATTGTGGTGATGAAATGTCATGAGATATTCTATAATGAAATATAACTAAGTGTTATGTAAGTAAAATGTTTTGTAGTAAATATGAAACTGCCAAAAGCCCACCTCAGTCCTTGTAGATAGAACGGAGGTGTCAAGTATATACTAAAGTCCAAAAATAAGACAGAATCCTAAAAGTCCAAATTTGATAGGTATAAATTTTTCATATGTGTTGGTGAGTGCTTATTCCTTGTTGTCATTGATGCCACATATCTCTACAAGTGATTGGTGTACAGCCATCAATAAGAATATGACAATGACAATGTAGAGCAATTTTAACCATTAGAACAATCCCTGTAAATTACTACTCAAAGTGGCTTTTGTAATGCTTGACTGCCAGAACTGTGACCTTTGGAGGAGCGGAGTTCAGAGTATGGGGATATGGTGGGGGGCGGAGCAGAGTATGAGGTTGGGAATTGACTTAGCTCATGCGCTAGCCCTTCCGCAGACCTTGGTCCCTAACTCAATAGAGTGAACAGGTGAGAGTAGAGGATGAAAGGTGGAGCAGAGTAAAGGTCCTTCAGAGAAGGACCACAAAACTTAGAAGGAGACTTTAATATAGATGGGAGGAACTAGTTGTTTTATGCATGTTTCTTCAAAGTATCCCTAGAAAAAGTTTTGGGAGCTCAGTTCATGAATCTATTTCTTTATTGTCTGTCCAAAGCTTATCGGCTATAATTCCTGGCGCCATATAATCAAATACCCAAGCTCTGTTCCATGGATTAGACTTTCACACAGATCTTCAGTTATTGTAGTCCATGTTGTGCATGCAACAGAGCCTCATATGTTATTTGTAGGCCAAAGAGGGACCGTATTAACAGTTTCTTTTTTCTTTTCAAGATTCCAAACCATGAGTCCATCATAGCCTTTGACACTGTCAGCAATATTGGAGTACTCACATAGGCTTACTTACCTCTACTGGCTAGAAGAGTCCCATCCTGCAATATAGAGGCAACGTAGATTGCAGATGTGTGTCCTTTGAATGTGCGCAGAGCTTGTATCCATTAGAGGGGGGAAATAAATATGACAAGTTGAACATCCCGTGTGTAGTTATGTTTGGAAGCTTTTGGAGAAAACTTGCAATAATTTATACCTTTTCGCTGGTGTACTTCTTACTTCTGTTAAACATTTGTTGGTATGGACAGCCCATCTTGATTGCAGTTAAGGACCTCTATCAAAACAAAAGGACTGGTTGACAAGCATCTGGACAGGGGCACAGAGTTCCTTGGTGACCTTTTGATGATGATGGTTGGAACAAAAAGCAACAATGTAGTAAATATGCACTCCTTTCTTTTGCTCACCCCTCATGCTGTGAATTGACAGTGTACTTGTACTCAGGTTCATTAGTATCAGTAATAGTGTCAAGAAGGGTAAATAGCTGCCAGTTTTTTAGTATTCAATAGAATTGTACGCCATTCTTGTCAGTATCAAACATATATGGCTAGTTACAAATGTATTTCATACTATCACTACTACTAACTAAGCCTTCTTTGGAACACAAGTGTAAATGTTTAGTAGTAATAAAGCCTGTAAACAAAATATTACACAAATAATAACACATATCTCTTTAATATTAGTGATATGAGGGGAGCTGTTGAAAGGTAGAACACAGAAGAGAAATATTGGCCGTCAGATGATAAGCTCTGAGCCAGGATGGAGATGAAACCATGCAATAGTTTCTGCTAATCAAATGCAAACAGCAAGGGAAACACCTGCACCCAGGAGGATGAGAAGTTTTGCTATGTTGGGTGAGTGATCAGAATTGAAAGTTTCCATGTAAATTTGGGATGGGGAGATGGGAAGCCTTGTACAGATAAAATACAACAATTCATTTATATAAGAGCCACCCCAAATGCCCCCATGCCGCTCTAGACTACTAGGAGAACTTTTTGAGCAGCACAAACTCCATAAACACTGTGGGCATTGGCTTATTTAATCCCAGCTTATATCCTGAAAATATGGGAGTTCTGGATTTTGATTAGCTAAAAAAAGCTAAAATTGAATGTTTTTAGGATATAAGCTGGGCTTTAATAAGCCAAAGCCCACAGTGGAATAGCATCATTCTAACTAACTAACAGCTAATATCATAAGAGCCCCTCCTGTCTTTTTATCAGAATAAACTTACCATCTCACCACTTCACTTCACACTAGACGTGCAAAGGGAATCTGTGGACAAACAAATCAATGATTGTTTAAATAGATCTATGTACTACCATAACTCCAATGATGAGCAAGAAATACAAATGAGCCCGCCCACAAAACCCCAGGTAAGCAAACTCATCTCATTATTGATCTTTCCCTCGTATGATGGGTAGACTAATCCAGTATGTTTCATGATCACTTGTATATTGCAGAGCAGAACAAGAACAGAGAGAGAAGTTGGATGAAAACAAAAGTAAGTATAGTAGTGAACAGTATTATATACTGGAGAGTTGCACTGATAATGTACTGCCCCTTGCAGCTTTGACAATACACTCAAAATACACAAGATGAGCACATAAAATGGAGAGTTAGTGTTAAAGCCATTTTCACCAAGGCACTAGAGGAGCAAAAAGCCAGATACAAAGTGAATGAACTTCTTGAGAAAGCCGCATTGGAAGACTCTCTGAAACAGCACATAGTAGGAGTTGAAGCACAAAAAACTGCTGACAAGGGTAACTGGAGAAAACAAGAAGAAGAATGGCCAAGACTTCAGATGGCACAGATGGAAGCAGATAAGGCTGCTGGAATCACTTCTCTGACACAGAAATTTGAGAGGTTTATTCAGGACAACAAGGTATAACTTATTGACAAAACCGGATAAACCCGGTCTCTGCCAAAGCAGCCATTGTTCTTCATGGAGCATAGCCACCACTCCATGGAGTCACCATTGTTCTCCTAGGAGCACAATTGTACTCCTAGGAGTCATTATACTGTAGCGAGTAGCACCTCCGACTATAAGTAGTAGGGGGCTTAGTTTAGAAATACCTCAGTTGTTTCTATAGCCTCTTGGGCAGCGGCTGAGTTTCACATAGATTTATTAGGTTATGAGCCCTGGTGTGCAAAAGCTACGCAGGAATTAATTCTTATTTGAAACAGAAATCTCAGAACCATGACCACAGCACACAATACATCTGCATGTCCAGTTCTCACTGGACCCAACAATTTTCAGATATGGAAACTCTGGATCATCTCAAAGCTACGTCGGGAAAAAGTTCTCCGGATTGTTACCGGATAGGAGCTTAAGCCCTCACCAGGAAAACCTACCTCCTCGGAGGATCCTGAAATCACCTGGATACTTAAGGATGAGAAGGCACATGGAATCATCCAGGACCACATCTCTGATGCCCTCCTAATGAGGACTGGAGACCTCACCAGCTCCAAGGAGTTATTTGATAAACTTGTCTCACTCCATCAGACATCCAACATTGCCTCGGCCTTCTATTCATTCCAGCAACTCACAAAATTGTCCTGGGATGGGAC